ACGCTTTGAAAGAGTTCTGCAATGTTCAGTAGAAATATCAACAGATAATCGCAGGGAAAGCAAAATCGCAAGTGTAAAAGTGCTTTGATTCCAAACCAAAGGGCAAGGATACCAAAGCGGTATCACACGGTACTCTGCAGACCAAAGCGTTAGCAGAAGAAATTACTTATATCTGCTTCCTCGCCATGTTTGATAATATGGAACGATCTGCTAGTTGATACCAAGAAGGTTAGCAAGAAACATGATACATAAAACAGGGAAATTGACGTCACCCAAAAACGTATCAGGGACACGCAGTTTTTCTTCTTCTTCTATAATTTGAGGGCCCACGATCAATGGATTGATCATTCTGGCTCCTATGTTTCAGAGGGGTTCGCGATGTTACTGTGCATGGTTTTGAAAGGGATAATTTCCTGTTAGCAAGGGCTACTCAGCAGTGGTATTATGAACTGGGGTTTGGAAGACAGGAGCCAATAGACACAAATGTGTCAAGTGTAGTCGCCTCAACTGTTGTGTTTGGAAGCTTTTTCAAGTCCCTTATTGTTTTTGGCAGGAATGAGGAGCTTCTGTACTGAATTATTATTTTTATTAGCCGGAACTGCCTATCGTGGCCTCGTCGCTGTCTAAAAAAAAAAAGGGGGGGGGGAGGGGGAGGTGAACGAGTTTCTGTTTGATGCTGGTTTTTTCAAGTCCCTTTTTGTTTTTGGCAGGAAGGAGGAGCTTCTGTACTGAATTATTTTTTTTATTAGCCGGAACTGCCTATCGTGGCCTCGTCGCTGTCTAAAAAAAAAAAGGGGGGGGGTAGGGGGAGGTGAACGAGTTTCTGTTTGATGCTGGAGCAGTGGACCAGCCCATGATTGATTTTGTACAACACGGAGAGCCTGGATAGTCGTCGTCGTCCTTCCAGTGGTGACCAGCCTAGTGTTTAAAGCATGCTGCCAACACTTGAGGTTTTTCTGTAACGATTCAGGACAAAGCGTGCTGCCCGTAGCTGGACCTCCTGCAACCTGTCAATGTTCTTCTAGGTAAATAGGTCCCAGACTGCAGATGCGTACTCTAAAAGCGGCCAGACAAAGGCTTTATAGGCTTTTTATTTCACGCTTGGTTGCCGATCTTTGCTATACAGCTATCGCAAAAGGCGACCCTTCCTTCTCATCAGTGGTCGATGCGGTAAAAAACGTATGTAAACATCTATACTTTCCGGCTTAGATGCCAGTTGAACGGCGTGTGTCGTACCAGTTTGGATATGAAGATAGAGACAACCCTCTCGATATTTAAAATAAAATTAGGCGAGAAGATAATAATTAAGTTTAAGTTGAAATTTCAGAGCTGTCTTGTGAACCCTGCGGCCTTAAGGGGGTCTTAGATGGTTCTGGGGCCTAAAGTTATGATGTGGATACAAAATAATTTTTAAAAAATATTTTAAATTGCATTAAAAACTAAACATTTGCTGTTTGTGGCATTTTTTGAAAATGTCCTGGCTTGCGTAGATGGCTGATCAGGCCGATACTGACACGAACGGTTCTTGTGCAGAAGGTTCAGGGGATGGATGGGACATCTCAAGATGCTGAGTTAACTCGGGCTTTTCTGCGTCGCCATTTGTGCTCTGCAGCATCTGTTCTCTTTTCCCCGTGTTGCAAGGAGCCCCTGTGTGTGTGTGTGTGTGTGTGTGTGTGTGTGTGTGTGTGCGTGTGTGTGTGTTGGGGGGGGGTGCCACGGGTCTCGATCCTATTCCCGACGTTCCTGGGTTTATGTGAAGCGCTTTAAATTTTGATTTCAGGGTGTCTTTAGAACGCTTCTTCTCCCCCCCTCAGGGTGTCTTTAGTAAAAATATTCTTTTGGACAAGTGGCCGTCTGACATTCTCGAAACATGTCCCGCCCAGGGAAGCTAGGACTGCGGGTACTTTGGTGTCTGACACCATCTCCTGGTATTTCATGATGATGATTTTCCAGAGGTCCATCGTGTTTAAGTGGTTGAGCTTTCTAGAATGCATTCCTTTGGGTAGACTGTCCACGGTTCACGTGCAAAGAGTGGCGTCCGGAGCACAGCCGCCTTGTAAACTTTTATTTTGGTTTGGGTGCTGATGCCTCTCCTGGCACACACATCCTTGTACATTTTTCTGGGTCTTGCGATTTGAAGGCTCACCACGTCATCGTTTTTCAAGCTCAGGGACAGTTTGCTTTAGTGTGCTTTTACAGGTATAATAGAAGCTGTTAACCACCTTTTAAGACTCTCACCAATGACTTGGCTGGTGGGCTCATTTAGGTATATACAGTGCGTCACTATCAAGTGGACATTACCATCTTAAGAGCAAATTCCATGTAATAAAATCTTTAAAATACGTGATATTACAAATAATTAAGATATAATAATAATTTTTTTAAGCAAGTGCACACGTTTTGTTTTTTTTTAAATTTTAAAACTATTTATTATTTTTGTTGTTTTTAAAAGAAAAGATGCGGAGTATTATTGCAATGGGTCTCAATGTAAGCTAAATCCTGCCCTGAATTTATAATAAATATGTTTGTTTTTTTCAATGATGATCTAGTTACGTCTTCAAGAATCAGCGGAGCACTAGAGCTACAAGCTTCGCTAATTTAGTAGATTTGGGGGGGGGGGAGAGGGGGATTCATTTTTTTACTTTAAATTTCTGAAGTGCAAAGTACTTAAGCATTTAAATGATTTTCTTTAAAAAAATGGTTTAAGGGTGTGTTGAGAAGAGAAAACCCACCATGGACAACCTCAAACCCACCATGGACAACCTCAAATCCACCATGGACAACCTCAAACCCACCATGGACAACCTCAAACCCACCATGGACAACCTCAAACCCACCATGGACAACCTCAAACCCACCATGGACAACCTCAAACCCACCGTGGACAACGCCTGGAAAATTGAAAAGTTGAATACGTGCTCAGAAAATAACATAACTGCACAAAAGAGAAACAAAGTTTTTTTAATCGTCAAGAATCTCATTTCATTTGGAGGAACCACATGCTTTTAAATATACAGCGATAGGGCTGAACATAAAATAAAATAAGAAGACCTTAGCTTAGATGGATAGAAATATGTGTCTAGTCAAGGGGAAACGGCGAATTGATAGTAAACTAGGAAGGACATGCAATTCAATATAAGGAAAATAAACAGTTTTAAAAAAATCAAAGACATAAAATAAAATACAAGTGCAACAATTATGACAAAATCTCATGATATTCAAATGCTCACGAGAAGACAAAATACAATGACAGAGGAATGAAAAGCTTATAAGCAGTGGCGTAGCTCGGGTTGGTGCCACTCACGGCGGGCGCAGCTTTTTGGTGCCCCCTTCCACAACAAAAAACGAAAAAATACGCCTCTGGTTACCACAAAAGCTCTCGTTAGAAATAAACGTAAGGCGTCATCTTACAGATAGTTCCGGGGGGGGGGGGGGGTGCCTAGCCGTCTTGTCGCACTATAGGCTCTGACGACAATAAAACAAGAATGGTGCCGGAAATCACCCTACGCCCTCTGGTAACGCGCACCCGAAGGCTAACATATTGTATTGTGGAAGCATTGAAAAATTGATCTCTACAGCGATTTCTTACTGATTACCTCAGTATCTATAATTCGGTGCTTATTAGCTGTAGTTGTAAGTGACTCAAGAAGGACGGGTGCGTGGAAAGTTGGGGTGAGCAAGTACTATTTTTAAACGGTGCCGGGTATGAGCATCCTGTTCAATATTTCATTGTTGACATCTTTTTAAAAGCAAACAGACATGTAATCATAAAAAAAAAAAATTATTTTGGGATGAATCGTGGAATTCATTTATATATTTTTTTGCGCCTGGCAAAGGTCACTTAGCTGATCCCACCATTCCCACCGCTCTCTACTAAACAATGTATTGAATAGTAACTTTATAAATATAATTCAATGTAAACATTTAACTTACTTTTATTTTGTGCCCACATCACAAATAATAACTCTCCTTAGGTGTAGGTATATGAAGAAAAAAAACACCCCCCAGCACCCCGGGTGGATGGGACCAGCTTACCTTGGACGGAAACTCATCTAAGAGGAGGAAAAATTCTGAATTCAAACTTGGAGATAGAGTCCCGTAGGCGGATAGCTTTGACACAATGAAATATTGCGGCAACTTCTGCGGTGCTAATGCTGTCAAGGCTGTATCATCCACATATTATGTTGTTCCCTTGCGTTATCCAGTTGCGTGCAGAGAGGCAATTTTCGGTCTATGGAACGAGCTTATCCTCCTAAAGAAAATCCCAAGCCTCGATAATTTTCCTTGCGAAGTCATATTGTAAAGGGCGGATGTCAGAATATTTTTCTTTTTAAATAATGGAGTAACCATGTCTATAAAATGTTACATCATCATCCCGCTGTTAGTTATTGACAGTGATTTTTGAGAATCCCAAGGTTTCACAAGAGATGTATTGCAATTTACCTATTTGGAAGACCTCCATTCCAAATCACCCCAACCTGTTGCAGAGGTTGGACTAAGTAAGATGTCCCCACCCTAGATGGTGGGTTTCGTCCTAGGCATTCGTAGGGTTCAAGCCCCGCCACTCATGAGAACAACGGAAGCTCACATTTTAGTTACGATGTATATAGTCAAGCTTATTTTTACAAGGGCACGAGCTTTGCGCATACTAGTAATAGAAGATAATTATTTTCAGTGAACGAGAAAAATTGGTGGCATTCAGCGCTGGAGAATGGCATAGATAAACTAATATGAATTAACGTCAGGAAATGATCGCACAATACCGGTAGTTACACTATAAATTCTGGCGAGCCAGAATTAATTTTATTTTAAATTGGCAAGCATTTCATAACCATTCAATTAATAAACACAAGGGACGATTACAGATTGCAGACAGAGGGCGCACGAGCATGCATCATTATATTAATCAATGTCTCTCTCTTCACTCACACACGGGCGAAGTAAGGGTCCGCAAGGATATGACGCTCCAGGATTTCTTGAAAATTTGAGTAAACATCATAAACCCACGTATCTGTGAGATTTAAAAAAAAAGAAATGTCCGTGACGTCATATGCGGTTATTCAACCAATGATTCTAAATTTTAATTGGATTTCTTGACAGTTCTTGAACGTAAGTTGTGATGAAATAGCCCAACTCTTAGTCTTATACAATTGCTGTTTGTTTTCAATAAAATGTATATTTCCATATCTCCTGTAAGGCATAATAAGATATCGTGTTTAATGTTCTCTAACAGTTGTTAAGATTACATCCGAACTCGGTGATAGAGGAAACGCGAGCAAATGTGTCGTCTTAAATTAATTAATCATCAACATTTTAAAACGCACAACCAATACAGTACTCGATAATTCAAGAACACAACCCCACCACCACCCCCCACCCCCCAAATCTCCAAAGCATTATTGCATAAATTATAGTTAAATCTTGACCTAAAACAAAGTAACATTTTGGGATTTGGTAACAGTAATGTGAATGGTCAATCGAAAAGAAAGAAGATATCGCTTGTGGAACACAAAGGCGGCAGGAGGCAACCCCGGACCGCCATTTTCTTTCCCGGGGCACGAAACGCAAGCGAATGAACAATTCTTTGTCACTCACAGACAGGTGCACTGCATTCGACTCATCAACATGGTGTACCCGCCCCTCTTCTTTTCACAGTTGTTGTATTAATGCCTGAACCATGAATTTCTAGTCCACGATACAATCAATTTTATAAAGGAAAATGGTGCACACTAGGCAGTACAAATTACTTGAGAGATGTCAAAAAAAAAAAAAAAAAAGAAAAAAAATTTGTTGTATTAATGCCTGAACCATGAATTTCTAGTCCACAAAAAAATCAATTTTATAAAGAAAAATGGTGCACACTAGGCAGTAAAAATTACTTGAGAGATGTCAAAAAAAAAAAAAAAAAAAGCTAAAAAATCTCTAGATAATTTGGCACTTCTAAATGAACAGTGCTACCAGACGTCGGGGAAAAGGACTAAATGTCTCATTGTAAAAGCGAACGAAATCTGAAAATAATAAAAAATCGTCAAATCAAAATTACTTCTTTTTAGTAGCAACACTGTGATTTTTAAAATTAATTACACCTGAGATTAGAATCGTAAATTTATTACATCTGCTTTTGTAAATCTTCTTTTTGCTACGCTTTTTCGTGTCTCATACGACATACGGTATAATGTATCGCTTACTAAGTCTCAGCTTTAAAGTGTATTATATGTCAGGTCAGAGGTACTAATGTCGTGAATGAGACCCCTTCCATGGCCAGATTCTTTGTTGACTAAATTGTTTCTTGTGCGTTTTCGCGTTAGCGAGCTGTACAATCTCATACCGCGGCTTGATTCAAGTAATACTGTTTTAGGCGCGCCGCTGGAGTGTCACGTCAACGAGCGTTGATTCGGGGTGGTCCTCAAGCTAGCTGTGGTCGGTAACATGTGGCTTCCGACACTTTGAAGGAATAGGCTCTTTTTGGATTTTCTAAGCTTGCCGAATGGCTCCCGAAATATTTTCTCAGCAGAAATTGAACAACCCCTAAAAAAGTTTTTTTTAATTTTTTTTTTTTATAAATCTATTATAAAATATAATATCCAGCAATGGGGGTGGGGCTGAAAATACAAGTAATGCACGTTATAAGAATCCCAGTTAGTGCTCCCCTTCCCCCAAGGCTAGCAACCGCAATTTTTTTTTCACGCCCCTGAACTATATTAATACTCTCATGACCCACCTTCTTTTACTACCCCGATTTATTTCATCAACTAGTTCAGAAAAATACAATAAAATACTATGCACCAAACGCCCTTGCGCTATTTAAAAAAAAAAAAAAAAAAAATATTAAGCACCAAACGCACTTGCGATATTTAAAAAAAAAAAAAAAAAGAATCTCACTTAGTGCAGATATCGGAAAAGTTTATTTCATGAAATCAGTGCCATCATCTTTCCCCATGAAAAACATGGAAAAAAAACAACTGAATTTCGGGGGTTGGGGTTGGAGGGGAAGGGGTAAACATTTGATAGAATGTATTGTCATTGGCAACGAGTCTGCGTGCCAAGTTTCAACCCTGATAGCTTCACGGGGAAGCTGGTCAGTTAGCCGTCCGAAGATTTTGCCAGGCAGCCTGCCACCCAGGAATAAAAGCGAAGTTAATAGAAATAATTTTAAAATGTAACACTAAGCGGCTTCGAGGGACGTTCAAGTAAACATATCTTTTGATGCAAACATCTTAAATAATAAGTCTTTAATCAGAGCGCTGCACTTTCAAATGTCTATTAGAGCAGCGGTTCTTAACATGTGGGTCGCGACTCCTATGGGGGGGGGGGGGGGGGCGAACGACCCTCACAAAGGGTCGCCTAAGACCGTGGGGAAACAAATATTTATGAAGTATCAATGAATATGATTGTATGGTGAGGGGGTCACCACAACATGAGGAACTGTATTAAAGAGTCGCGGCACTAGGAAAATTGAGAACCACTGTATTAGCGGACGATTTCACGCAATTTTAAATAAAGCTTTATTATAAGTTCACCTATTTTCAACCTATTTTTAAAATAAAGTTTGATCACTATTAAACCTTACCTACTCGCCAGTGTAAAATACTAAAGATTAAGTTCTTCTGGCGCCTGGAGCAGCAATAGTAAAATTTAAAAGGAGGAATCTTTGCAATTTCCTTCTGATTTTAATGGAATAAATTTTGAAATATTTACTCGAAAATTTATTTCAATCATTTTTATAGTACCCCTCTCTTACGGATAACTAAACGGGGCCCCTTTTAGTATTGAGAACCTATATGATTTTATTTGATAAAGGCGATAACCTTTGGCATTGAGGAATACCTTTATTTATTTTTTTTTTGGAAACAATAAAATGAGAGCGTATAAAAGTTATACAATTTCTTCAAATCATAGTTTTTGGCTGCGCCCAGCTTGATGATAAACGGAAACTGGAAGGGCCACAGATTCAATGTTGAAAGAGTTAGTGTTAGTTTAAGTGGGACTTACAGGGGCAGGTGTCTTGTTGGCTTAGTCGATTCCCCATCCTTCTCTCGATTACTCTTCTTCATCTCTCTCTCTCTCTCTCTCTCTCTCTCTACATACACACACACACATATATATATATATATATATTTAAATCAAGGAGACGCCAATTGACCCACTTTCCGTGATCCTATCAAGCTGAAACTTGGCACACAGACTTGTTACCGATCAGAGCACATTCGATCAAATTTTCAACCCCTCTCCCTCAATATAAGTTTTGTTGATAAAATCAGGTGTGATAGAGACTTGAAGCTTGAACATCAGAGACTTATACGATTAATCCGAGACTCTGCTAAGGACGAGATACAAAAGTAACCTTTATAAGAACTCGTCAAACAGATAATGTATAGAAAATATAAAATCAATAAAAAATCTCTCTATCTACATGTGTAAGAAGTTAAATATTTTTTTAAACATCAGATGTGGGGAAAACAGGTCCATAGAATACCACCCCCCCCCACACACACACACACAAACAACAAATAAAAAAAAAAAATCAGAGCCTCTGGTTTATGTCAAAGACTGGCGTCATGATTTCTGGATCTTACTTTCCCTTCATTCTTCACGCTGATTCCAGGATGTCTGTCTGGTGTTGCTGGAGGTGCCTGCCATCTACAAAGGACCTAGAGCAGGAGAACCAGTTCTCGAGGATCAAGATATCAGACTTGACGGAGGTGCTGTGTGACAAGTAAGATCTATTTTATTGTCATCGCTGGAACACAATGAAGTTCCTGGTCTGCCACGCAATATTCCAAAGTGGAGGCCTTCTTCGTCTGCAACAGTGGTTCTCAACCTTCTTAAAGCCGCGACCCTTTAATACAGTTCCTCACATTGTGTTGACCATAACATGATTTTCGTTGCTACTTCATAAATGTGTGTTTTTCAACGATCTTAGGCGACCCTTGTGTAAAGGTGGTTCGACCCTCAAGGGGACCGCGACCCACAGGTTGAGAACCGCTGGTCAACAACTATATCCGGTGACGTGGGAAGGTGGGTGGAGGGGCGGTACACCCCCAACCGGCCCCATCTCTAGCCGGCACCACTGGCTGTATCTAGGAAGCGATGAGCAAAACGATAAACTGACTGCCTACGATAAAATTTTCCACAAATCTTTAATACCATTTACCAAATTTCAAAGTTTGGACCAGGCGCGGTAACCTATCAAGTGCATAATAGATCTCTGATGGAATGTCGATGTCAAGTCTCCCCACGCTCTCTAATAATACGTTTGCATTATTAGTTTAAGCTTAATTTGAAAAGTATTTCTTTTTCAATGCCGTATTAATCTAAATGCAAATGAGACAGCAGCAGCTGCCAGCGGTAATTCATCAAACATTCGAAAAAAAAAAACCACAAGAAAGCGAAGTTGTTTTAAATGTTATTTATGAGACCTATGAAAATTATGTTAAGGTTCAGTGCATGTGATATTGATAATAAAAAAAATATATATGGGCACACGTTATTACAATCAGTAATATTTGTATAAAATATACCCCACAATTTAGACTGCCCATGCCGCCCATGGGCTTTAGCGGGGCTTTATCAGACCCTGTCATTACTGAACCCAAACAAAATTGATTCTCAAACGAATCTATTCACTTCAATCTTATTTCACCAGCTCTCTTTATTCTAGTTAATTGCCCACCGAAGTCCAATGATTACTACACTTTTTTCCTCCTTAACATTACATTCACAGTGCATTTAACTATAACATTGTTTCTTTAACATGACATCCACAGTGCATGCAGCTATAATAATGTTTCAGTAACATTACAATCACAGTGCATGAAACTATAACTTTCTTTCAGTAGAATTACATTCAGAGTGTATGGAACTATAACATTCTTTCAGTAACATTACATTAACAGTGCGTGGAACCATAACATTCTTTCAGAAAGATTACATTCCCAGTGCGTGGAATTATAACATTCTTACAGTAAAATTACATTCCCAGTGCGTGGAACCATAAAATTCTTTCAGTAAGATTACATTCCCAGTGCACGGAACTATAACATTCTTTCAGTAGCATTACATTCCCAGTGCGTGGAACTATAACATTCTTTCAGTAACATTACATTAACAGTGCGTGGAACCATAACATTCTTTCAGAAAGATTACATTCACAGTGCGTGGAATTATAACATTCTTACAGTAAAATTACATTCCCAGTGCGTGGAACCATAAAATTCTTTCAGTAAGATTACATTCCCAGTGCACGGAACTATAACATTCTTTCAGTAGCATTACATTCCCAGAGCAAGGAACTATAACATTATTTCAGTAACATTACATTCACAGTGCGTGGAACTATAAAATTCTTTCAGTAGCATTACATTCCCAGTGGGTGGAACTATAACATTCTTTCAGTAGCATTACATTCCCAGTGCGTGGAACTATAACATTCTTTTAGTAACATTACATTCCCAGGGCAAGGAACTATAACATTATTTCAGTAACATTACATTCACAGTGCATGGAACGAGTTTTTAGGCGGGGCAACGATGTTACAAAAGCTGTGCAGGAATAGAAAGAACTACGACATCGAAGTGCCAGAAAACTTTTACGTCTTTGAGCACATCAAAACATCAGTTTATGACATCAACTTCAAGGAGCAAGATACGGACGAGGCAATACAAGGGGAGAGAACTCATGAGTTGAGCAGTGAGGAGACTGTATCAAGGGGAGTTTCATGGTATGGTCGGTGAACTTTTCTCTCCCACTTTTCGATTTTTAAAAAATGGTATTCAGCTATTCAAAGAAATGTGAAATTTTAATACTCCATATTTTTTTGTCCACACCACAACTTTGGGCCCTTTTAATATTGGAGGCCCCGCTTCATGGGTTGCATGGCCCATGCGACGGCTTTAAGCCTCTCATTATACAAACTGTGTTTATGAATATTTTATTATCAACAAGTCATTAAAAACAATAACAAAATTTAAAAAAAAATAACTAGACCAGTGGTTCCCAAACTGTGCTACACAATGTCCAAAGGGTTTTCAGTTGGGCCTATGTGTCATATTATTCTATTAAATGGAATAAGGAAGATAACTTGCACATTTTGAAAAACTGACATCACTAGTTTTTCCCTTGAACCCATTAAATATCTTTATTTTTTTTTTTTCAGTTCTGATCAGGTTTCTTTAGAAACCTTCTTCGGCAACGACACGCCGGACAGACAGACGTACAAGTTCCGTATTGAGAAGTCAAGGAAGACCGTGATAAGTGTCTCCTTTCAGAGAGGTTTCACGTTCGGGGGACAGGCGAATTTCAGCATCGGCTTGGCGAAGGACACCAGCTTGGGGATTGAGACCGATTTGCATTTTGAGGTAACCTAATAAGGCTTTAAAATGTGGCTACGGAAATGACATGTGTAAACATAACTACCAATCACACCACTCACCTACCCTCCACACGCATTTTTCGAGTGGCAGCAGGGTCGGATTTCTCACACAGGGTCAACCTAGGGCCATGGCCTAGGGTTCAGCAGTCAGAGGGAAAGATGTTTTGGGGGAGTTTGGGGGAGGTTGGGGGGGGGGCGTATTTACAGATACAATAAAAAAAAACATATGCGGTATTTAAAAATTTGTTCAGTATTATTTTGAAAATACGACAACGTATTTTATGTAACGGGACATCCTTTCAAATGATGTCACACACCTGAAAAAAAAAAAGGGGGGGGGAAGGAAAGGGAGATCAACCATCTTTGATCACGACTACATATGCGGTATTTAAAAATTTGTTCAGTATTATTTTGAAAATACGACAACGTATTTTATGTAACGGGACATCCTTTCAAATGATGTCACACACCTGAAAAAAAAAAAGGGGGGGGGGAAGGAAAGGGAGATCAACCATCTGTGATCACGACCTGACCACCAGAGGTTAGAGAGTGTTAATGAATGGCCTGATCTACAGCTTGAAGCTAACGCATTGCTTGATTGCTACCAGGCTGGAATTTTCTAAAAGTTAGTAAAAGCCCTTTGAAATTTGAAACAACAATTTATCCACGAACAAACTTCAAAGCGATGTTTTTAAGAAAAAAAAGAACCAGAGAGGACGGAATAAGTACCCATCAAGTTATACGACTGCCGGGGGTTAGGTATTCCCAACAAGGCGGTTTGATGGTTCCATTTCGTCCGGGGGATATTTCTGCCACTTGGCTGTCCACGCATGGTTTAATAATTACAAAAAAAACAACAAAAAAAAACAACCTGAGAAACTATAAAATGTTCTTCTTTATTCATGAAGAGCAAAAAATGAGATCATGTTAGCACACAAAGTCCAAAATAACAGATAGCAATAACTTAATGATCGTTAACGCTCCGACAACTAACTGACTGACAACTTACTGGCCGACAACTAACTGACTGACATCTAACTGACTGACAACTTACTGATTGACATCAAACTGACTGACAACTTGCTGACTGACAACTTGCTGGCTGAAAACTACCTGACTGACAACTAACCAACTGACAAATTACTGACTGACAACTAACTGACTTAAAACTAACTGACTGACAACTTACTGACTGACAACTAACCGAGTGACAACTTACTGACTGACAACTGAGTGACAATTTACTGACTTACAACTAACTGACTTACAACTAACTGACTGACAACTAACTGATTGACAACTAACTCTCTGACAAGTAACACACCCACCCCCCACTCTCTAAATGAAACCACACTGGCAATTATCCTCCTGCTCCCACATAATGTAAACACGCATGTTTGGCGACATTCAAACTTAAACCAACCAGTTATCCACCACACATACTTTTCACTGTCAGTTATCCACCAGACGTACTATTTATTCACTCTCAGTTATCCATCAGACATACTATTCACTCTCAGTTATCCATCAGACATACTATTCACTCACAGTTATCCATCAGACATACTATTCACTCTCAGTTATCCATCAGACATACTATTCACTCCCAGTTATCCATCAAACACTCTATTCACTCTCAGTTATCCATCAGACATACTATTCACTCTGAGTTATCCATCAGACATACTATTCACTCTCAGTTAATGATCAGACACACTATTCCCTCTCAGTTAATCATCAGACATATGGGAATTGTGATAAACAAAGTCATAAAATATAGATAAAATCAAGATCAATTCAATCTAAGTTGCATTTCTGAATACTCTTGAAGATCTAGACAAAATTACCTGTATTTATGTTTACCTGTATTTGTGTTCACCTGTATTTATGTTACCTTTCTTTTCAGGTGACCAAAACTGATGGCCAGACCTTCGAGGAGACAATCCTGACAGAAGCGACCAGTGACATCGTCGTCGGACCCCACAGCCACTGCACGGCCAGCATCTGCCTGGAGGAGAAAGCCTTTTATAAAAAATTCAAAGTCATCACCCGCATGTCCATGCCCCAGGAAGCGGCTCCCGTGTACATCCGCAGAAAGTCTGACAAGAAGGTCGTCATGACCTCAATCATCTGCGACCTTCCGCAAGAGTTTGGCGGCAAAGTGCCTTGCATGAAGGAGGTGACAGAGGACGGGCAAACGTTGCAATCCAAGGTGGATTTTATCACCTGGGGTATTTTGAAAGGTACCCTGGTGTGTAATCATAAAATTTTATTGAAAAGCGGGACATCAGTTTCTTGATAATTTGTGAGGAAAAGTTGGAAAACTGTTTCTAGACCAATTGTATAGACGAGTGGAGAAATGTTAATTAACCAAACGTGCGGAAGAGCTAGTGCTAGCCAAAAGTCTTTCTCCAAAATTCAGAGTAAATACCCCACTTTGAAACAGGCAGTACTGTGGATAGTTATGGAGAACTGATTCAAACAAGCATTACACAGTGATCCACCTCGCTTATTTCTCATCACTGCCATTTAGACCAGGTGCGCAGATGATATCAAGGCGGAATAGGTTGATGAAATCATGCCTGCAGGGATTCTCTCCTAGATCTTCTTTGGGGGATTCTACCCCTTTTGTCTTTCTTGTAACCGCAGCCAGACTTGTGAATTGTTTTTTTTTTGTTACTACTTATTTATTTTAATTTTTAAAAGAGATTTTATAAATTGAATGCTTTGTTGAGATCCACAATTTTGGCATGTGCACACTTAGATATTTTGGGTATTTCCCAATTTTCTCCTTTCATATTCTAATGATACATTCTTGTCATACACTAATTATGGCTCTCTGAACATCACTGAATTTATTAAATAGATTTGAACTAAAAACAAGACAGCACTTCAGTTTCTGCAAAAAAAAATTTTAATACCTAAATTCAAACAATGCGCATGCTTTGAATACTTGATCCAAAAAGTGAATTACATAAAAGATTTCAGTTTAAATAAAAAAATTGTAATGCTCATAAAATGAACAAAATAGAAGAACGACAGATTTAAACAATAAACTAAAACACATATAGAAGTACGAGATATGCATTTCAGAATGCCTGAAGCAAGAGCAGATAAAAAGTTGTCCCAGTGGAATGACATTAGATGTATGATTGTTTAAACATTGCAAACACTGAGAAGCAAGAAATTTAAACTATTGGTAATATTGATTGATAGATGTAATATTGATTGATTTAATTAGGACTTAACTTCTGTAGTGTATCACTATCATTATTAAAACTGACCAAAAAAATGACTAATTCTTTAAGTGTTGCTACACCTTAATACGAACAATAAATGAAAATTATTGATAAACATTTAAATGCAGAATTGGAATAAAATGCCAAAAGCAGCTTTTTTTTGTTTAATTAAAGCAAAATAGACAAACAAAAATTATATTGGCTGGGCTCGTTAAAGTTAATGAACAAAAATATTAACCTGTGTGTCTATGTTGCACTCCAGGTTTTTTTTGGGGAAAAAAACAAAATACATAACTGATAAAACAAATTTGTGTTTTGCGCATGGGGTGTATACATTTACTTACAAAAATTACAATAAATAAATAACTTTATATAAAATATAAAAAAACAATGATAAATATAGCCTCCATGAGTCTCAAGATTTTGTACTGATTTATTGCACTTGAAGCTAAATATAAAAGCATGAAAGTACCTGACTTTGAATATGTAAGAATATATTGATAGCCATGAATTTTTTTTATAAGATACCAGAAACTTAAAAGAATTTAGAACATTATGTGTGTAAAACTCATTATATGGCATTACAACATTATTGGCTTATCAGAATTTGAAAAATAGCTTAAAGGTATCAAAATTTCAAACGATTTTGTTAAAAAAAGAATACTATTTTGTAAGACCTGTACAGTATATTTAATTTTTTAAGAAACTGTGTTAAAAGCTTGTTTTCCATTAAAAGAACATTTTAAAATTGTTTTTTTCCTTTTACTTTAAGTGCCAATCGCAGGTACACCATTTTAGATAAATAATTCATTTTCTTGCTGTTAAAAAAATATTTTCAGAACACTGCTACAAATATTAAAAAAATAGGGAGCTTACTCTTGACGTTAGGAAAATTTGATGACTAAGAAAATAAAAAAAAATTTTAGCCAAAAAAATAAAATAAAATTTTTCAAAGTTTTTTACAAAAATTGTGCTGGCAAATGTACTTGTTGATACTAACTTTAAAACAGGTAGTGACCTTAACTTATATATACAAATAAGGAATATTACACTTTAAAAGTTAATTGCCAGAAACTGGAATAATTTTAGAACTTATTTTCACAAATCCTAGAGAGTCCATTATTAATTTACAATCAAATGGTGGCATCTTCATTCTCATTCCTCCAATAATCCTCAGTAGAGAAATAGGAACCAACATTTGGTTCAACATTTGCTCTTGAAAGAATACATCTGCCATTTTAATAACCTAATCTTTCTAGTGTGTAGGTGTGCATGACAACAGATTGACTGAACGTTTGATCTGGTGCAAATAAGATTTAGATTTAAAAATTACACTTGAGTATATTAAATAGCTTAGAGAAGGCAATGAGATCTTCTCCCCTGATGTGTGCAATCCTCATTATTTAAGATGAAACATATCAAAATAGTTTATAAGTTTAATGCCATGTTTACATTTAAATGCCACTTTATAAGCATTTGATCCTTTTCTTTCTTCTGATTTCTGTGAAAGAAAAAAAATCGAATAGCTTTACAATTTCTTACAAGTTGCTCCATTATTGACATGAGAGAAATGCCATACTAAATTAACTATGATACTTAAAATCTCCCACGTATTATGTTATGTGACACCAGCATTTACAAATGAAACAATAAATTCACTTGATATTTCTTTTCCATCGTTAAAAAAGAATATTGTGCTGATGAAGAGGAGTAGTAAATATGAGTTGAGAGTTTGAGCGGGCCTGCATAACGTACAGCCAGCCAGCATCCACTTTGCGGCCCGCGAAGTAACAAAATATTCTTTTTTATTATTATTTTCTTCATAGCTTTCCCCCTTGTCCTATTATCTTTTGGCCCGCACAAGTTTTTCATAAAATATTACGGCCCGGCTTACATTTTGAGTTGTGCAGGCATGAGTTAGAGAAACGTTGGCGCATGTTAAATTCAGAATTATTCTTTGCCATAAGTTTACACTTTAAAAGACAGCTTTAAAAAAAATCATTTGAAGAGACAAACCCAAGCGTGAATAATTATGAAAGAGTCACTGTCACATGGTCCCCATCACTTTCTGTGATCTATTTCAAACAATGTGCGCTAAACAATACAAAAATCAAATCATAAATTGTAACAGTTTGTTTCACACATTATTTCTGTCAAATATTTGTCTTGTTAGGTAATGGTATGGACATATCAGTATAGCATAATGCAATATGTTACAAGTTCAGTGTTTTAAGTTAGATAAACTTTCTCATGATTTTGAAGTTTTAACTAGATTCAGGCGATTCAAGGAGCTTAAGCAGGATTTAAGAATCATTCAATTTTATGATATAAGTGGAGCCTTACTTTTATAAATAAATTGATACGCTTCAAGTTTTGTCTTTTAAGTATGTTTCAAGTTTGCTTACCCATTAGAGTGCTACTGTCATTTTCTTTTCAATACATTTGCCACTGAAAACAATTTTATTAAATTGATTTAAATTTAGAACTGAATCGTTTGGATAAACATGAGTCTAGCCATGACTGATGTTTGTGATTTGTGACTTTTTTTTTTTTTTTTTTTTTTTTTTTTTTATTTTTTTTATTTATTTTTTATTTTTTTTAAAAAAAATACTTTTTTTTTTTTTTCTTTTAAAAAAGTTTTTATTCTTTTTTTTCTTTAATTTTTTTTTTTTTTTTTTTTTTTTTTTTTTTTTTTTTTTTTTTTATTTTTTTTTTTTTTTTTTTTTTTTTTTTTTTTTTTTTTTTTTTTTTTTTTTTTTTTTTTTTTTTTTGTAATTTATGTAATTAATATTTAATTTATTTAACACACATACCTTTGTTATTTCTCCTTTAGAAAAAGGTTTTGACTCATGTCTTGCTACAATTTTTTGATCCATGCTTACTTCAAAAATGACCCTTTCTTCATTATTGGACCTTAAATGATATTATTACATGCAAAATTTTACAGTCGTATGACAAAATCATAATATAAATTATGCAATATCAATAAAAATAACAACACAGACTATTTTTTTCAAGTACCGGTCATGACAAATCGGTGAATTAAGCATCATAAATAAATTAGTTACACACGATTTGTGTGTTCATCTTTTATAATGATCATACAGAATGCTAATGAAGATGTTTTGGCAAATGCCTTCATCAGAACAAAAAAGAAAATTATATTATATGAATTTTAAAAAATTTGATTTTATTCTGTATCATCATGCTCTTTACATCAAGACAACTCCCCAAGGTGCCAAAAGGGAGGGGGCGGTAATTTCTAAACAAATTCAAGTGCACTGTATAAATTTATAATTTGAATCTATACGTTTCTTAGGTATCTTTTTATATCCATTGCTGAATAAAACAAATCACATCCCATTTCTAAAGATGGACAAGGATATAAGCTTACCCTTCTGCTGATGAAATCAGTGCTTGACATCTTCCTTTAGAAAATCTCTCGTTGAATGTGTAAATCACAAAATGATCAAATATGTTTACTTTAACTGGAAGTTACAAAAAGAAAATTTCAATCATCAGGCACTTACAGTTGCTTAAAATACTAATTAAAGCAATGTTTTGTTTCACATTTAATAAATGTACAATTAAGTTGTTTTTTTGGTATATAATATATTTTAAATAAAACTTTACAGGCCAAAATTGTTTTTGTATAGCTGCTGATGAAAAACCTGACATATAATGATAACATTTTGAAACATTGTTGCTATCAATAAATTTGTTTTAGTCTTAATTTTTTAAAAAACCTTTGGCGGGTTGATCTTGAATGACTGCATTTTCTGCTGTTTCCGCTTTTGGAGGCTCAGTTATTTCAGCCATTCACCTTCAGCTAAAATAAGAAGAAACAAAATTTATTATTGAATGGCATTGCTTTGTACAAATTTAAAATAATAACTGATTACATAAGGCTCCTTATAGTACAGACAAAGTGCTGTAACTCTCTAAACCTGCTTTTTAAAAATATTTTTAAAATCTAAGGCAGGAGTTCTTAAAATTTATGAAATGCTGCAGCCTCTCCTCTCTCCCATCTCTATTTCAAAACATTACCTCCACATAGTTAATAACCCCTGATCTACAGCTCCCCCCTGTCCTGTAAAAAATATTTTTTAAATTACGTACACTGGTGGTTTTGTTGGTTTAGGAGATTTCGCTTAAGGGGAGAGGGGGGTGATCCAGCCGAATGTGTAAATACATTTATTCACAAATTAAGCTGAAATTCTGAGAGTCTATAAACAGGCTTTTTACATCTGTTATCAAGAAAACGCCCCAGGGTGCCAAAAAGGAGGGGGGCGGTAATTTCTAATTTATATGCAAGCATGGGGGGTGTCCATCTATAAATATTTTCATTAAGTTATTTACAATTTTTTATTCACCTATCATCATAAATTTAGAACAAAATTTAGACATCCTCATTATTCCCAAATTTGTAACCACCCCCCCCCCCCTATAAGATAAGTTATAAGTTATGTCATTTATGAATGCCCACTTAGTGGAATGTATACTTTCTTTCACATGATCTAACTAAATGATATAAAATTCCTTTTTAAAGTTATTTGGGTGATAGTGTTTGTTGTAAAATTTCTGCTATGCAGTTTGAGAGTTACAATTACAGTAAAGATAACCTTAATATTTACTAAATGCTAAGAATCTAGGCCTACCATTATCATTTTTTGAAAATTACTAAGTGAAGTGCTAGGCCTTCTATTTCATTTACATAAAATTTAACATGCTAAATACAATTTTACTTTACTTTAAATAAATTGTAATTTATGCCGCCTAGGCTAGTGCCAATGGGGCCTAAACTTAGGCCTATAGTTTCGTAAGGCTATCCTGTATTATCCTTTAACTGTTAACTATAACAAATTCAAGTTCAAGCCTAATACTACTAAAAGTATATAACTACTATACTTTGTATGAATAGTTGCTAAACCAAACCCACGAAGCATGAATGAGAATGAAATCAATCCAATCATCCAAAATGAAATCATGAAAATTGAATCTTTATTAATTTATCATTTTATTGATGATTGTGATTGATTTAAAATTCAAGTGTCGAGTGATTGGATTGATTTGTGACTGAACTGACTCACGGTCACTGTCAGTGTTACACTCAGTGTTGTTAGTTAAGTTAGTAAGTGAAGTGTAATTGTAGTCGTTTTGGACCTTACATTATTTTTTAAATCAGTTCAGCAGCCCAGAAGAACAACTAGTAAAACAATTTTTTTTTTACATTATCGTATACTTTTTCAATGACATGACTCTAGCACATTCATTTATAATAATTATTATTTACTCCAGTCACTACTGTCATAATCTTTTATGATTAAAAAAAATTTACTTTGACCATTATTATTCTAAGCGACGGGCTATTCATACCGAGTCGTGTTTTCAAAACGAAGAAAACAGTTCTTTTTACGTTATTGGTCAAAAATAGACTTAAAATTAAATGTATTTCTTTTTAAAAATGAAATGCGTTATCAGTAAAAAAAAAATATATTCTCATAAAAATATAGGTTGTAACACATGGTACGGTCCAATGGATAAATGCATTTGAAAAAGTTAATCGTGTGAAAGATTTAACTGTAATTAATGACATTGAGAGGCCTATTTAATTACGTGAGTTTGCAGTAAAATGAGTAAAAAGTAAGCCCTTTATTTAAAATTTAGTATTTCATTTGATAACTCATTTTGTCTTACAAACCAAATAATAAAATATTAAATTGTTTTTTGGCTGCATCTATAATTACCAGGTATCTATAGTTGGCAATAACTATTCGCACCCGGAGTGGCTCCGTACATATTAAATGGCTTCTGAGCCGGGTGAGATAATAATAGTATGAGAATTTATTTTTTTTTTAAATTGTTTTTTTCTGCTTGTTATTTCATAGATTCATAGTTTTATTCTTTTTAGTTGTTTTTTATTTTTGCTTTGTTAATTTTTCTTAGGATAGGTGGATTTTTTTTTCTTTCTTATTTTCTTGTTTTCATTTGAATTTTTGAAAAGTAATAATATAAATTTAATTATTAAAATTAAATCCTTTATTTAAGATTATTTGTGTGTATTGTTTAAGTTAAAAGATTTAATCACACAGTACTTTATGAATTAATTAGGTATTCTAAATAATGAAAATTTGATTCATAATGAATTAATTTCAACTATTCATCTAATAGAGCTTAGCTTAGTCAGTACAAAACCACCAATTTTAAACTTTTTCCTTGGCACTGGGAGTCATACATGCGGACACTGACTGTTTTTCCTGATATCTCGAATCTTCTTTCAACAACTTTTCTCATTTGACTTGACCTAATTCACAAGGTAGTTGCAATGAACATCTTAAAGTTAAAGGATGACATTGTATAAAGCATGAGAAAGAGACTTATTTTTGGAACTTTTTTTTTCTACCATATCTGTCTACTGGCTACTGGGTCTAATACACTGGTACATAATTTAAAATTTAATAGAAAAAAAAAACCTTAACTGACTTGAGAACATTTTTGTTTGGTTGTTAGTTATTTGAGTTGTGTACTCAAGTACGGTAATCCATAAAATAAATTAGGGGCCAGTAAGGAGTAGGCAGCCAATAAACTCATTCAATTAGGTCACATCAATCCTTTGCCATTTGTCTCCTTTTACTTTCTCACATTACACCCGTACAGTTAATTATTGTTTGTATCATTTCTTCATTTAAGTACAGATGTGATGATTGAGTGGGAGCAAATCTATGTGATCTGTGAAGGGAGTTTGGTTTCAAGGCAACTAAGTCATGCCATATTGAAAATAAAATACTGATAACCCTAAATAAATAGAGCCATTGAAAAAAATATATACATACAAACCATACACAAACAGAAAGACAAAAATCCACTAAAGTTTATTTTTTTTTAAATTTGTTGTGACTTTTATTGCAAAAAATTTAACATTTTATACCAATTTTGACTTTTACGCAAAATGAATAAAGACAAATTTGTATTGCATTGTATTGTAATTTATTGTACTGTATTGTAAATGAAACTTGGCACACATATTAAGAATATCATTGACATAAAGTTTAAAGAAGCTTATTACACAGCAGTTATTGGAAGTGTTACAAATGGCATGTATGTGGGGTCACATAAATATTCGAGAACTCTTCAGGAGTAGCAAATGTAAAAATGTTATAAAACTTTTCTAGTTGGATATACCCGGTATATAAAAAAAGCCTCTTGAATTTCGTAAAGAATATCAATGAATAGAAGCATGCAATGTTTGAAGGCTGTAGCTAGGATACTTTTCCTCCCAATTCATTTGGCGTTCCTAAAAAATCCGGAAAATGCAAAATTGAGAAACATTTTAAAAAGTATAAAATTGTGTTTTTTTAAATTAGAGGGCTGCATGAACGATATAGGATGCATACACCATGTACATATACCATTCATGAATTAAAAAACAATTAGAAAACTAAGACAGAAAAGATAGAAACAAAAAATTAACACACGAAACTAATTTTTAAAAAATATAAATAAACAAAATTCTGAAACATTTTCCTTTGAGATATTTGTTTAAAACCATCCATCATTAAGTAGAGAATGTCAATATAAATAAGCATGCTAAGTTTCAATTATGTAGTTCCAAAACTATTCTTCCTGATTCATCAATTGACGTCAGAAAATAAAATGAAAATGCTATATTGATAAAAGCTGAAAAAGACACTGACAAATGCTTAGTAAAAAATTAAAGGTTACTTGAACAACATTGAATGCATATATCATGAACACATTCCACTCGTTAGTTTAAAAAAAAAAAAATTAAGTACAAAATATAATTGATAGAATATAAATGAATGCATTTTCCCAACAACCCACTAGCCTCGAGCCTAATAAAAATAATAAGATCATAAAAACTTCGGAATTTTGTTTATGAGACATATAATAAAAAAAAACATCAATCATTATGTAGAGAATATAATAGAAAATAACCTTGCAAATTTTGAAGCATGTGGTAATAATACTTTTCTTCATAATACATTTGACGTCAGAGATAAATGGAAAATCCTAAGTGGACCACTTTAAAAAGAGAAAAAAAAATTCAATTAAGCAATATTAGAAATATAGGAGTCAAATAAAATGAAATTTAAAGCATATCAATGTGAAATTATCATAAAAGATAAGAATTTTCTAGATATTTTTACAAATTTTAAACAATATTGTAGAACATGTTAATGTTTTTGTAATAAGAAATCAATAGACTCAGTTTAGGAACAAAAATCTGCCCAAGAAATATAATAAAAATGGTTATTTACACAATTTTGTAAAATAATTTACAGCACATTAAAAACATTTACATATTTATAAGAGTAGCTGAAGTCCTGTGTTTGGATGTGTTATGGTGAGTTGTGGGTTTACTTGTCCTGCATTCATTTGCGCGGCCACCGCAACGGACACAAACCATAAAGTTTATGCAGCATTAACGATCAGAAATCTGCTTAAAGTAAACCTATACACGGGTAAGCCGCGGCAACTGCGTTGCTGCCCACAGCCTTACTAAACAGAAACATGGCAAGGCCGTGGAGGCCACGTCACTCTAGCTATGCCGACGTATTACTTTAGTGTATCAGAGAATGACTTTGGTAATCAGCAGACCAGACCAGGGAAACGGCGCATGGGCAAAAAAAAGGTGCGAAGCGAGAGACTCGGCAACGTAATAGAATTCCACCAACAACAGAGAGCGACCAATTTCCAAGCGTTGGGTGATGTGTAACGTGTCCTCATAATGAGCAGATCTGGGAAACGTTACGAGCGGACCAGGGATTATGTTGCGATATGGTCACTAGAAAGTTGTGCCATCCACTACCACAGTGGTTCTCAACCTGTGGGTCGCGACCCCTTTGGGGGTCGCACGACCCTTTCACGGGGTCGCCCAAGACCATCTGTAAAAACATATACTCCACAGTTTTAAAGTTGTTGAGCCTTCTCGTCCATGAGGGGCATCCACCGATCATCGTCGGCGTCTGCGGTTCCTCCAAGGGCATAGGCCACCTACGAGAGACCTCCAGGCATCTCTATCCTGGGCCAGCTTCTCCAGGATCTTCCATTCATGGCCAATTTTCTTGATGTCTGTCTCCAATTCTCGGCGCCAAGTGTTTCTTGGACGGCCTCTTTTCCGCTTACCCTGTGGGTTCCATTTCAGGGCTTGCTTTGTTATGTTAGAAGCAGGTTTTCTTAGTGTATGACCAATCCACCTCCACCGCTTCTGGAGAATCTCTTC